AGAGAGAGAGAGAGAGAGAGAGAGAGAGAGAGAGAGAGAGATCGATTTCAGAAGTGCTTAAACCAAAGCCTTTCGTTCTGCCCTGGCCAGAGGTCCGATACACTAGAAAGGACGTCTGGGTTTGCCTTTTTAAAATCAATATTCTTATCTAGAGGCTACATGTAAGGGTATGACAGAAAACTCTAGTTTTGATACTATGGCTTCCAGGAAATACCTTTAGAATTGGATTCTGGTCAAAAGAATAAAATCTCCTTCTGGCTCTGGGTCTGGAGATACTACTTTCTGATTTGCTCTCAAGATTAAAGCATTACTTTCCACTGTCTTCCTCAATAGCCATGAAAGTAAACTAAGAGTTAATCTAACTAGGCCTATCAATTACTGATGAAAACACCAGATGAAAAGACCAACCCCGCAGGAAGGTTGGTTCACATAAACCCATGCTTAAGAGATGAGGGGAATGATTATTTCTTTAATGAAATGATGTATCCATTCTCCTGAGAAGCTCTGTCCTTAATCATAGTACTGATGGACACACTTCTATCTGTATCTGCAAAACTGGCCTGTCTTTCTGAATTACTTAAAGCATGAACGTTTTCTTTTTAAAGTTTCTTTACTTTCCAAAGTCTAGATCTTCTTCTTTTTTAAATTTTCTTCTCTTTCCAAAGCCTGGGTCTGCTTTGACTGGTATTATAAACTTTCTTATTCTTTCTTTGAGGCTACTTTCAGACCACCATGTGGCTGATTTTAAAGACCATCGCTCTCCTCCCTCCTTTCCCTCTCCCTGGCAGTTGGCAATGCTTGCACTTTGCCTGCTCGGTTAGTTCTGTTTTAAAGTCTAATACAATTATCACTGAACTTCCTTCAGAATCCCTTTCCTAATTACTAGTAAGAGTAAGAATCTAAACAGGGAATTGGAATTTTCCCTACAAACTGCTACTTTACCAAAATCTAGAAAGGAACGCAGTATGGAACCAAATATTGCCAGGACAAGACAGACAGGATCCATGCCGTCACCTGCACTGGCAGGGATTGGGTAGGCAGGCTGTGTTGTCTGCAATAAGCAGAGACTGAAATAGACTTCATTTAATGGGCAGTCAACAGCATAGAACCAAACCTAATGAAGAAGAGCCCCAATAGTGCAGGGACTTCCCTTCAGAGCACAGACAGTAGAATACAGGTTCTTTAGTACTGGGGAGGAAACATCACCAAGTACAGTATTCACATGGCACACTGGGGACCGGCATGAACCAGGTACGACTGGAGAATGGAGCAGATCTGCAGTGGCCATCGCTCTCCCACACTGTTCCTTCTAATAGGATCCTTATTAAACCTATGCATAGGCAATTGATTCCAGAGTTTGAGAAGACCCAGAACGTCTCTTGGCTTAGTCTAGTTTTCAGTCAGTACAAAACAAGACAAAAATAAAAACTACTCCAAATTTCAGACACTTAAAGTAAGACACTTCTCCACTGGCATGCCAGTTCTTAATCCTGAAGTCACTTGGGGTCCCAGGCTCATCCGACAGCCATGACAACAAACTATTGAAGATTCCTTTCTAAAGGACTCAAGGTATCAGCAAAGCATAACTCTATACTTAGTCAAGCAGGAGCAGTGAACCTGAGTCCTGATGGGGGTAGCACTAATGACCTATACACATGGAAAGGTTTAGATTAAACCCACCTCACTCTAAGGAAGTCAACCATAGCTGGATGATAGCTGAGACGCAGCTCTTCTATACAGTGCCCATGATCTGAGTTCTACAGCAATCACTGAAGGAGAGTGAAAAGGATAGCTCCCTCTATTTCCTCCTAACTGGATTCCTCTTTTCAGAGACCCCAATTTTGAGACTCTGTGTTAACATTTTAGATAGCAATGTAAGGAACACCATCAGATAGGCAACCCTAAATTTCAGCATGTGTGTCACCGTGATAAAATGCCAAAGTCCTGTTTCTGAGGTCTGTTTGTAAAACAAAGGGGGGTACAAACGGGTCAACCATGAGAATTTTCAACTTCATTTGATTCAACAGTATTTGGAGGAAGGCCAACAAAATTATTCAGGCGTAATATAAATGCCAAGGTTTCTGACAATTGAAAGGTGATTTGGAATTAACTGAGGGGAATTTTCTCCATGATTTTGTGTTTGGAGTAGTGAGAGAGGAGAATGATTTGCTTCTGAACTGTTTCTTTTTCCTGGGTGTGGTGGTTTGAATAAGGATGTTCTCCATAGACTCACATACTTGAATACTTAGTCACCAGGAAGTATAATTGTTTAAAAGGATTATAGGGACCAGGAGATGTGGCCTTGTTGGAATAGATATAGCCTTGTTGGAGGAAGTATGTCACTGGGCATGGGCTTTGAGGTTTCAAAAGCCCATGCTAGGCCCAGTCATGCTCTCTCTTCCTCCTGCCTGTGGATTAGGATGTAGAGCTATTTCTCCAGGACCATGTCTGCCTGTGTCACCATGCTTTGTGCCATGATGATAATAGATAAAACCTCTGAAACTTAAAGAAAGCCCCGATTAAATGTCTTCTTTTATAAGAGTTGCCTTGGCAATGATGTCTCTTTACAGTGATAGAACAATGACTGAGACACTGATGTACCTAGCAAGGTTCAAACAGAGTAGAGTCCATGATGCTGAGCCAAGAAGGTGCAAGTGTCTGGGGCTGCCTGTATTATCTTTGATATTGTTGGATTCTTCTGGTCCAGTCAATGTCCTAAAGGGCTATAAGGGAGAAGTGATAGAAGAGAAGGCCCTGTGACGGGAGGTGTATGATCACAAGGAAGAGAGGGCAGAGGAGATAAGGCTGAGAGTAGAGCCTGCACAATGTCTTCATGTGGCTAATAACTTTTCTGTTTTCTTAGCCCCATATTCCAGGATACACCACAAGTCAGAGTCCAACAATGCTTTGGGAATCAATTTGGCTTCATGAGGTTTTAACTGATCGAAGAGATTTAGGATTAAATGCAGTAAAAGAAGCATCTGTAGATTCATTCATTTTGTTGCTTACCTTGGTAACTGAGTTTAAATCCTTGCCGGTTCTGTGAGTGGTCACTATAGAAACGGATGAGGGTTTCGTGTGTGGTGCTCAGCAGAGATGCAGGAAGGTCAGGGCCACTGAACTGGCCCATCATTGGACTGCTGTGGTAAGGGCCATTCTGGATCTCCAGGTAGTCATGGTTGGCTTCAGTTGAGAAATTTAGAAATTGGATATGTGCACCTATGAGAAAACATACCATCCTCAGAAAGCTTATGATAATGTGCCCCAAATCAAGGGTAAATAGAGGGATTATCACTTCATTTCTGAAAGCCAGGGGAGCACAGTAGAAGAAATACTGTATCTTTGAAGACATATCTCAGGTTAACTCTGGGTGATCTGTGTCTGCAAAATTCATACCCATTAATCAATTTCTTTCATGCAGAAGTATATGCTAGCATCATATCACAGTGAATCACAGACATCATTCTTAGAATGGCAACTTAAGGAAACATCCCTACATCAATGATTATAAGAAAAACATAAGGCTGCTCTCATACATGGCACGCCAATCATGGTTTTATCTAAAGAGAAGTCAATATTAAATGAAAACCTAAATTATGAACCTTAGTAATAAAATAAGAGAAAATTTTCTTTCTTGTCCTTTTTCCCCTTCCCATAATGTGGTTCTAGAGATCAAACCAGGGGTGTCCTACATACTAGACCAGTACTCTGTCACTGAGTTAGTCTCATTCCCTCTTGATTTTGATGGTAAAAAATTTTTCATGTTGAAAAGTTAAATCAGGTGCTTACATGAGCTATTCTATGTAAGATTAGATACAGAGAAAATGGTGTCTCCAAGGCAGAGGCTCATAAAAAGTCAGGTGAGGAAAGGGTTATGAAAGGAAGCTAAAGAAGGAGTTGTGGGTTATAAAGAAACAAACAATTCTAAAAATTTAAAGCATTTCAAAGAAAACTTGCAGGAAGGAAACATATCAAACTATTGTGTTTCTAGTTAACTTGGCATAAGGCCAATTACCCTGTCCGAATTCTTTGCCAACTTCTCTCTCAAAATCACTAAGAGAGTCAATGCTTAATGTCATTTTATCTCTATAGGTGAGCACAGGGACTCGGCAGCATCAGCTATGTCCACTGTCACACAAGGAAGGTCGCTGTAAGGTTTATAGCCAGCTCAGATTAACAATGTCCTTCTTTCCTGTGGATTATCACGATGCAAGCTAGAGCAGAGCCAATCACCCAACGACTCAAATGCACTCTGCTGCTTCTTAGAGAAAATGAGTTTGTATTAAATGTGTTCAACTTGGCTCAACAACGAAGGATGACTGAGAAAATCTGGCTGGTGGAAAACCTCAGAAAGAGGCCAAGGGGACAGAAGTTAGAACAGAAGAAATATCTTCAATTAGTAAGCCAAACTTTGAATTTTTTTAAAATTAAGTATGGGCTTCATCTTATATCATCTTGGCAGATACACAACTTTCTCATTGGGAGGCTGGGAAGGGATACTCAATCTGTTATTCTAGGATAAAAAAAAATTCAGAAGAAATTCAAAGGCTACAGCCACATCAAGAGCCTACTACATAGAAAATGGCCAACATCCAAACAGCAGAGGGTGGAGAAAAGGTGGCTTTTCACTCCTACAGAATTAAGCTTGAAAAGAAAGTGGAATAACAATTATAACATTGTGAGGAAAATTACCATTTTGAGAGGGATAAAGTATCCAGCCACATATCACACTACCTAATACCTATCAGTAAATGAAACAGAACTTGGCTCTAATCTGTCTTAAAGTGGGATTGTATCCTTATCTAATTTCTAACGAACTTCCTCCAGTTTGACATTACAGAGCTCAACTGAAGGGATTAGAACAAATACAGCCTAGTCATCCTTTTATTATCTCATAGAATATTCTAAAACTCTGTGGATATAACAAGACAGCCAATCTAAGAGTATATCTCTGCTGAAATTTACACAGCACTCTTTCATCTGGTCGTAGTTATGCTTTGAAGATCAAGTACAAATGTGGAGTCCACTGCACAAAGGATTTGCCTTGTGACTTTGACAAAGCTTTAAATAGTAATGTGGCCCTGACTTTGGAGCAAAGCTCTCATTTTTAGCTGGTGGAATTTATGAGTATTAGCTTCTCTGCTATGTGTGTAACAAACATTCTAAGGTCCTTTTATACTTTCCTTACTATACCAGATGGTCCATTTTATAATTTAGGATATCATTGTCTTACATTGCACTACAGTTGTTTATAAAGAAAGGTATTATAAAAAACAAAACAAACAAAAAACAAAAGAATATCTAGGTGGCATTTCTCTTAACTTCTCTTAACTCTTATCTTTACACATACTCAAGAAAGCAGACCCAGAGAGTCTAAGTAGATTCTACTTCAGCAAAGCAGCACACACAGCAGCATTGAAAAATAAGAAATTAGCCCCAAACTATGGGGAAGGTGGTTGCTAAGACAGAAACCATTTAAATGGTCCTTTTATAGACCAGACATGAGAAGTGGAAAAGGGGAAAAGTCATCATTACATAATTCTAACCTTAGAGTTTCTTACATGTTTGCAAAAGCATCTTGAAAAACACAGCAAAGACAAGGAGTTTAAATGAAGAATTGTGGGTAGGAAAGGGCACTCCAAAAAACCATGATTATTAATAAAAACTCTAGTGTTATCAGCAGGCTACCTACCTATATGTTCTTGGCTAAGGAGGCCACTAAGGCCTAATGGGCCATGCTGCTGGATGCATGCCAGAAGTAGATAGGAAGCTGTCATTGCTGCAAACTCTTGCATATTTTAGCTTCAGGACATGGGGACATCAGACTGTGACTGAACTAAAAACTCCATTCTTGCTGACTGGCTTTCACAACACTTGAGGGTACCATGTGAGGTGCTGGGGGAGAATTGTCACTAACTGTCCTGTTTGGCTCAGAGCCTGCATTCTACAGTAGAAATATGCCAGTCAAGTTGTGCCTTCTGGGGCAATCAGGGCCCAACTGTTATGGATATCAATTGTTTTCCAATTGGATTGAAGACCTATTCCATAGGAGGGAATTTAATCTGGTACTATAAATCAGGCCTAGGAGGTCATAGACTTCATTATAGAAGCAACTGCTACTGTTGTGTTAAACAGATGAGATTTGTCTGTCAAGTTGTCTTCTAATAATTTGTGTTTATACACAAATATTACTATTGCTGTTAGCTTCAATTACTCACAGAAGTGAACTTTTTTATATAATAAAAGATGGACTAAAGACTCCCACCTGGTCAAACTCCTGAGACTAAATGACTATTGTGATATAGCAACCTAATAATTAGGCATCTATATCACTAATCCTTCAATCTCAAGACCCAAAGAAAGATGTTCAGAAAGGAACAAAAAGATATAAAACCCATAGGAAGGGATACAGTGTTGGTCTCTGAATTAAATTACACCTTCTTCTATGGAGGTTCAAGGCCTTTTAAATACTCTTGAAGTAAATGAAATTTACAAGGTTCTAGAAGTCCATAAAACTCAGATGTCTCAGGAAGTTCCTGAAATTACAAGATTCACACAGGCCCTTCACAAGATTATACATAAGCAGTAAAAACTTCTGTAGATAGGAGAACTCTGGGTTTCCAAGCTCCCTGTAAGTTGTACAGGGAACTTCAAGGATGCTCTCCATTCTATGGTGGGACTTTTTGAGAAGTAGCTTCTTTTGAGACATCTACGCATCTGTAAGTAACCCCTCAACCATATTCCCATAAGTGATCCCAACGACTCACTGATTCACTAAATTGGACTTGGGTGGAACTGTTTCTTTGACTTGCCATTGGTGCTCTATCTACAGTGGGATGTCTTCTAAGGTAAAGTCACTCAACTCCTTGAGGCCTTTGTCCTCCTTCCTGGTCTTTGCCACTTGACTTCTTTATGGCTCCAAATAAGTCCTGGGTCAAGACTCCATATGCTGGTCCTCTTGGACTGCCCACTAAGCCCTCCTCTTACCTTGTATAGCTAACCAAATGCTAGCTGACAACGTCTTCTGTCATGTACCTGCTCAAGCCAGGCAGGGCCTTCATCCCACTGCATGGTCACAGTGTTCTCTAATGAGCAAGTTGGCCAGTTATGTCTTCTCTAGAACTGTCTCTCTGCATCATAGTTCTAACTCTTTGAGGAATATACTTTGAAAACTCTACGACCTTCTAGGACAACAGTTTATGGATAGCTTCTAGTCATTCCTCTTCTACATACAAGTGCTTGGTATCTAGGTGCTCAGTTCCTACCACTTGGGATTTCCATTAAGTCCTTCCCTTGGTACAATACATTGTGGTTTTCGAAGAAAGAGAGAAGCTGAAGGCCAGATGAAGGGTCTACAGTGAGAAGGAAGACACAAGGGAGGTGAAGGCTAGCATGGGAGTTAGAGACTTTTAGAAAGGTCATGTGTTTCTCAAGTCAGGGCATAGTAAGATTTTAGTGTTTAAAACAAAACTACTAATTTTGTAAAGCGGATAATCCAAAAGACTGAAAGTTAATAGCTAAATATGTCTTAAAATTTCATAAACTAATAACCAACATGTTATATAACTAAAAAAGTTAATAAGATGCTTAATGCCCCAGCATACGGGAATGCTAGGGCAATGAGGTGGGAGTGATTGGGTGGGTGGGGGCATCACTCTCATAGAAGCAGGGGGGAGGAGGATAGGATAGGGAGTTTTGGAGAGGAAACCAGGGATGGGGGTAACATTTGAAATGTAAATAGATAAAATAACCAATAAAAAATAAAAGAATTTGAAAAAGATGCTATATTTCCAAATTTATGTTATATTTCATATGTGTCGTAGCATGAAGGAAGCCCTAAAAACTGCCAGCAAGAGTCACCATCTCTGAATTCTAGAGACAGACAAGACTAGGCAGAGATGTAAATGAGGAGACTGATAACTTATGGATGCCATGTCATGTCATCATTCAGCTAATTAAATTTTACTTGAAGGGAATCACATGGTTGAATGGATTTTTAAAGTTTCTGCTCTCAGTGTTCTTCTGTTAAAGCTCTCCTTAAATCTGAAATCTACATTCCAATTAAAGATGCAGACAAGTCAATGGATCACCACAGTCACTCAGGGCAACTAAGCCAGGTGGAATCATTCCTGGCCCACTCACCATAGCCAATGGGCAGTGATATCTTCCAGGTGCAGTCCAAGTTGTTGGGGTATGAGCCCGGAAACCCTGGGCTCAGGATCACTCCACTCATGCTGGTCAGTGTCCCACCACAGGTGGCTGTTAAAAAAAAGACCACAGGAATCTAGTAGAGTTTTATGCTCGGCAATGATACCTAATTTAACCCAGTTTACTGGACCACACTATTGAAGAGAAAGCTCAAGGACCTTGGGGTATCTAACAACAGTTTGGCATGTAGGGCATGTGTGCTAGTTACCCAGGGATTCAGTTTTCCTCCTCACTGTGGGATATTTGAGAATCAAGATTCTTCTGGAATTGCCTTCTGGTCCATAGGCTCTTAGCAAAAGTCAGCTGATTTAATAGTGCATTTAAAACAGACATCAGGTTGACTTTGGCTTTACGGTTCCCATTTGTGGTAGTATTGCTACCTATCAACTATCTGATTGATTATGCTCCTACTGTGTATAAACAAATGAACTTATGCTCCTGCTGTGTGTAAACTAATGAGAACCATCCCTGAAGCCCCACAGCAGTCATGAAGGCTGGGGTTCACATGGCCCTCACCTGACAGATGGAAATAAAGCCAACAAGACTGAGTAATTGGCCTGAGGATTCACAACTGGGATAGCCCCTCTGTTCTCCAGGATGGTCCACTTCTGTCTGGTTCTGGGGTCACACTGTCCTTAGTATCCCTACCTAGTACTTGGAGTCCCTTTAAATGGACAATATAGCTGTCTGCAACCACTTACTCCAGAAAATTCCACATCATGAAAATAGTAAGTCTGTATTGAAACTGTATCTATGCTGTGCTACTGTGTCTGATATTTGCCAGTAAAGAAACAGGACAGATTTTATAACAATATAAATATATTTGCATTAGCCACAAGGCTGATTCACCAGGAGCCCCTGCGTTTGACCATTTATGACCAGCTAAAGAGACAATTTCTAAGCACTCAGCTCATGTTTTCAGAAGCCTCTGTCAGAAAGCATACACAGTAGGTTTTTTGTTTTTAATTTTCAAATTATTTTCAATCATTAAGGTTAGATAACTTTACCCATCAAGGGCAAATTTCATGTGAGAAAATATTTACAGGGCAAGCATTGTGATTGTGGTTAGTTGTTTAAAATAGGCCACTGAAACTTGGGTTTCAACATTCTCTATATCCAAGAACTAACTTTACATCTTCTGCTGATATGATTCTAGACACAAGCTCAGATAAAATCAGTATGTTTGTAACTTAGAGAGCAGCCTGTCAGGAAGCTGTCAGTGGGTGAGACTCATGTGTGAAATGCACACTCTGCTTACGTGTGGTCCCTGGGACTTCACTGGGCTAAAATCATGCCAGAATGGTGGAATAAACCAAAGCACTTCTCCACATAGGACCCTCTAGCTGCAAGGAAGGTTGATATGAGGGAGGACACAGGGAGAACATAAACAGAAAAATGGGAAATGGCCACAAAGACAGGATGAGTGTCCAGTGATAACAAATGGTTTCTAAGGAACTTTTCCTGATTTTGAGTGTGACCAAAATAAAGCAATGTCATAAAATATGAGCATCTGTTATAGATCCCCAGCCCACCAGAGGAGGATTGACATGGTCATCATTAACAAGACCTAGCCAAGCTAGAATGACAGGCGCCATCTTCAATATTGTTATCCATCCTGAACAGAGGACAGGGACAGTGTGCTGTATGCCATGAACATCTAGACTCTGGGCACAAGATGACTTCCTGTTGATGTGAGAGCTATCAGCACAGGCCAGCCTTGTACATATAAAAAGAGCCATTTGATTAATATCAGATCAGAACTCCCTAAAGATGTGACCCCATCTACCTTACTTTGGAGTATTGAAGGAACCCCATTGCCAGTGTGCATCTAGAAACATAACTATGCATACGAGTATTTTGTCTGTGTACAACATATGTATTTGATATGTATAGCAGAGGCCAGAAGAGGGTGCTAGACCCTTTAAAGCTGTAATTACAGCTGTCTGTAAGCCACCATGTGGGTGCTAAGAGCTGAACTCCGGCCCTTTGGAGGAGCAGCCAGTGCTCTTAATCACTGAGGCATTTCTCCAGTCCCCGACTTACACTGTTCCATAATGCCCAGGCTGAAGCTACTTCAAAGATGTAGAATTTCTTTCACACTATTACCCCGACCCACTCCTGCTCATTCTTTCTCGTCCATCATCTCATGCCCTGCAAGCAGTCTGTGTGGAGAGTCATCAACAGATGCTATGCTTCAAAAGGATGGTTGATCCCTGCTACACAACTCAGGGACTCTGCATTTTTCTGAATTTATATTTCTCATTTTGTGCAGATTCCTCCTGATCCAGCACAAATAGTACATTTTTAGTCCATGTCGCAGGTCACACACTGTTGAAAACCCCACAATGCAAAAAGTCTGCAGCCCCGCTGGCCTAGCTCTGCTGGGGACCTTGGCAAGCTGCCTGTCCCTCCAGGACTTTATGTGATATTAAGAACAGTCAGCATTACTTAAACTCTGACAACAGAGCTGGGTCTTCAATGAATTCTAGGAAGCGGCTTCTGCACCTTGACTCCATTCGTAATGTGGTTATAAGGAATTAGGACATGAGGTTTCCAGGAAGCCAGTGAATAAAATATTATCTCTTTCTAGACACCTACCTTCTTCAGCTCAGATAAACCTGGAACTAACAGCTACAAAACGCTTTGATTTCTTATGTCAGCCTTCATGGCTCATTACAGTTGTGTGGGAGTTCTGACAATGGGGAATTTCTCTGCATGCCTTGCCCTAAACTGTAGAAGTTGATGTACTTCAATATTTGCTGAATATACATATATACATATACATATATTCTCATTAAAGAACATGTAAAAGTCATACGTATCTTGCTAATCTAAGTTAGTTATACAAATTCAAATAAAATAGTTTCTTATGAAGCACTGAGCAAACACAAAAGCCCTCATCTGAATATGTCTGCTAGGAATCAGTTCCACTTCAGAGTTGAAAGAATCTAAGTCACTGTATGTGGAATGTGGTTGCTCACAAGAAGATGGGTGATCTATGTAAGGAATCGGAGGCTCCTTGACATCCTTCTGTTTCTTCTTCCATACCAAGGCTGGGATACAAACTTCCATTTTATAAAAGGAGCTTTTAGTGTGGAAGGCATATTAATAGAGAAATTTATGTTTGTGTGTCACAAATAAAATACTGGCCTCTGAGGAAGAATGCTCCCTTGAAAGAGAATATGAGGGTGAATACAGATGGGAATTATTCTCCAGACCAAGGAGGCTATAGAGCATTGAGTTTTGTTTGTTCACCACATTTGGGGCCATATGTTATCCTCTCTACAGAGTCCCATTTGCCAGTTAAACTGTATATTTCTCGAACTCATTGCATGGTTAAGACTTGTTTGAGAAACAGAGATATTAGCATGCCAATGAAACACACAATTATCACCTTGTTGACTTTGGGGGACCAAGATAGAGTATCATCATGGTCCTCAACAAAGTAAATCCTGAAACTGAGACCATCCCAGTGGATGCATCACAACATTTCAAGCTGTTCAATTTGTGGACACAGATGGTGCTTTCTCCTAAAGCAGTCCCAGACAATATGGACTGTCTGAGTGTGGTACAGGCATCAGGGATCTGAATGTGACAACGGTTGAGACCACTGTGGAAAGACCTTATAGACTCAGGAAGTGTCCGAGAGCCTCTGTCACAGCAAGCCAGGTTCTTAGACAGCCACTGATATAGCCCTCATTTCAGATTGCTAGTCTGAGGAATAGAGTGATGAGCCAGGCATAGGAGTCGTTACAGTTCTCTGGGTTGTGGAAAGATGATGTAAGTGATGTTAACGGTACTAAACCTCATGAAAAGACAGCTATCTCAGGTGTAAGGGCAGAGGCTAAAGGTTTCTAGGAACCTGACAGATAATGGTAAGGTTTACTCCAAACTCAAGAGTAGCCAATTCCCTCCATGCTGTCTGGCTGCAATGTATGGAAAACTCAAAAGTTGTGTTTAAAAACTGCATGAGAAACACCTTAAGAATATTTTATATAAGGACAGATTTAGTGCTGATGGGTTTGTTATTGGCCACAATCTCTGTCATACCAGCGGCCCAGTGAACTAGGAGAGGTGGGGGTGGTTGGAAAATTGAGCACAGTTTCTAGGGCAAGAACAGGAAAAGAAAGTAGACACTGGGTGGGCGGGCTATGAAAGTCTGAGGTGTAACCCACAAACTGCAGAAGCTGATCCTATGGCTCTGGGGCGGGGATGCCTGTCCTGCAGTTTGCACTGGGATGCTTTAAGCCTCAGGCATAGTTTTTTTTCCCCACAAAATAGGCAGTGGTTCTCCAGTGCTAATAAGGGTGTTTACACATAGCTGTCACTGGACCCTTCAATGTGGAATACAAACAAACTGGTTTCTGGAGATCCAGTGACTTGCTTGTAATTCTGAGCTGTGCTTCTGCAAATACACCTCTCCCGAGGCTAACAACATGTTCAGAAAGGCTGCTCAGCCTGTCAGTACTGTTACCATCTTCCTTCATAAATTAATAAATTGGGATTTTGACATGGATTTGAACTGCTTGGCACCCTGAGCTGGGAGTCTCAGAGCTTCTCTGTGTAGCCTGATCCGAAGTCCCTCCAAAAGCCGAACTACTGAATTCCACAGGGAGGAGCTCATTGCATGCCTGTGACTTTGCCCTGTGTGAATGTGCTCTCTAATAATGTGTGCTTTTGAGAGGGACAGTGTGTGCTTTGAGTGGGACGTGGAAGGGTAGACATTGAAGCCAGCTCACTGGATGAGGGTTACTTGGCAAGTCTGTGCAGGTGTACTTACCAATGCACAAAGGGGAAGGATAGTTCCAGCGACGTACGGTTCCTGGCATACAAGAAATGTGTGAGCGGCCCTGTTGAAAAGCAAACCATGAAGCTTGTTTGTTATTTCAGCCGAGTATTTAGGAATGAAATGTGTAGGAATATCTTACCTTCTTTGTCTCTTTAAAAACTGTCAACTGAACTCTTGTAAATGAGTCTCATTTGGAAGTATCAATTAACACTGACAAGATCCTTTTCACTAACAATATCTTGACTATCTAAAGAGGCAGGATTTTGGCTAATTCTTCACCATACCAAAGGAGGACAAACATAATAAGATAAAGTATGTCTCACTTTTTCAGCAGCAGCTATGTCACAGTGTTTGGCTTAAAAGGCAGGAGTGATTGGGGACAAATGGTAGGAACTGAGAGGATGGTAAACAAGAATTTGCTGCCAACCCACTTAGGGTTACTCTCTTGGCTGTGCAGAAACCACAAATTCATGTACACTCCAACCTTTGCAGTGTAACAAGTAACTTTGCATGTCCTGCCTGGTGGAAGGCAGATTCTTGTCTGTAGTGAAGTCAGTCCTCCCAACTCAGGGTCTTGTGATTCTCGAAACAGAGCACTGCTCAAAACTTGGTCTTCTAAAAGCCAAACAGCAGTGAAGAGATTTCTGGGGATATACCGTGCTGAACTCTCTCTAAGCTCTAGAGCAGTGCTTCTCAACCTTCCTAATGCCATGACCTTTTAATACAGTTCCTCATGTCATGGTGACCTCCAACCATAAAATTATTTTTGTTGCTATGTCATAATTATAATTTTTCTACTCTTATGAACCCTAATGTAAATATCTGATAAGCACATGGTCATAGTGGACTCCTGTGAAAGGGTCATTCAACCTCAAAGAGTCGTGGCCCACAGGTTGAGAAGCACTGCTCTGGTGGCACCTTTCAGTGGTGTTCTGTTGTAATTTTCCCTTCCTGTGATCACCTCTGCCTCATCTCATCATACATTTTTCTCTACTACCTAAAAGTGGCACTTAGGGGATTGAGACAAAACTTTACACACCAAGGACTCAGGAAGCATAAATGTATAAGTATGGCCAATAAAGATAAGGGGGTTGACTCCTCGAGCTGATCATTCTGTTAAAAAACTAATTTATACGGCACCATGAGGAGAGCAACAATACCAACCAACCACAGCTCCCAGGGTCTAAACCACCAGCCTGGGAGCACTTGGGGAGGGATCCAGGGCTTCAGCTGAATATGTAAGAGTGGAGAGCCCTGCTGGGCATAGGTGGAAGATGAGATCCTTGACCTCATGAAGCCTGGACGCTCCAGGGGGTGGGAATTTTGAGGGTGGGGAGGTGGGAGTGGGGGGGGTAAATAGAGGTTACATCCACAGAGAAGAAGGAGGAGGGGCGAGGGGATTGGGGGTTCCGAGGGGGTGGTGGGGGATGGGGTAAGGGGACAACATAGGAAATGTAAATAAATCATCCAATAAAAAAAACAAAAAAACAAAACAAAACAAAAAAACTAATTTATATTTTCATTCTTACTGGCATTTTAAAAAATAGTTCTAAAGGAAAAATAAGTTTGTTTCTTAGATTTGTTCATCAAATGTCAGCTAAGCTCTTGTCTTTACTTCAACGTTTGGGTTTAAGTTAAGGTTTTGCTCTGTTGCCCCCTGCTAGCCTCAAACTCAAATCCCTCTGCCCGAGTCTCCAAAAGTGTTAGGACTAAAAGCATGTGCCAACACATCCAGTTGAAAATATATGTTTTTCAAGAAGACAATCTGATGCCAAAGTGTGTGTGTTTATATATCCTGTGGCCCATTAAATTGTATTTAATAAATTTCCTGAATTATGGCTAAGCATAAAGTGCAAAAACCCTTTAAAGATATTTATTGAAGACCTCCAGTAAAATGGTCATTTATCACAAATCAGAGCATATTCAGCTATGGACAGTTCCATAAAAAAATTGGATGAGTGATTTCAAATAAAATTTGTGTAATAGATCAAATACAAAGCAGGATCCTGAAGACTTTATCTTCAAGGTTTTATCCTAAGAGGAATTTTTGAAATTTTATGTCTTAAAAGAGCATGAAAGCACATCAATGTTGGCTAGGTCTTCAGCTATTCAGGATTTCACAGCAGCCCATGGTGTTAGCACAACGTTGTATGACCATTAGTCTCACTCTGTGTCATACAGGAACTGTGTTAGGAACAGTGATTTGCAGGACGATGTATGTTCTACATGTGCAAGGTAATTCATGTGTTAGTGAAGACTTGTTAGCATCTACTTCTGTTGTTGGGATGTTAACATCCCCCAAGCTCCAGGCTCAATGCTGTCCATAGTAAAGACAATGGCCTGGCTTACATTTGAAGAGCAGAGCTAGGAAGCAACCTGATAAGCCTTCAGTCTAGTGTGTCTAGGAAGAGTATCAATCCCATGTTATAGGAAATCTGTGTTTGAAAGATTTCTTCTCCAAGGTCTTAAACTATCACTAAACATGGAAGCTAACAGAAGCTGCACTTCTTCAACACACACACAAAACCCCACAGATATCAGAAGAGAAGAGAGTGTTGGAATGTGGATTTCATGGGAGAAAAGCAGAATGTATTGATGTAGCCCCAGTCAGTTATAACAAAAGCCAATGGAAAAAGATCAAACAAAAAGCTCATGGAAATGGACCAAAGTGCTTTTTCATGTGGAACTCATGATCTAGGACATGGGATTCTCTCTATTGTAATAGATACAAGTACAATACTTGTCTTAACCACCCTGATTAATCTCCCTGTGCCTGGTTAAACATGCCTTTCTGTCACAAAGTTACAGGATCCTGTGGGGAAACTCAGATTCTACAATCCACTGTGTGTGAAGTCCATGTGGTTAATGCCCTGCCATGCAAGATCCAAGGGCTTTAAGCTATAGTTTGACCTTCATGAAAGTGATACATGTAATTACTTGTTTATATAACAATAGCATTTTTTATAATGTTAACATCTATATGCTCTATGTACTGAAACATGTGGGAGATTTAATAGAGATTTTCTCCAATCATAGAACTCATAGCTCATGCTACAGGGTCTGTAGGGACTGATGTGAAGTCTTATGTCATGACCTAGCCTTCACTAGGTACTGTCCACTGGTTCTTGGTATAGTTCTTTACCCCATATATGTGAAGAGGCCAATTGTATAGCCTGTCCTTATTTCATTGTATATTATCCTACCTCTTTCTTGATTGTTACTCAAGCTGTTCAATGAAGTTAGGTGTAGAGCATAGCTTAGAGGTAGCATTTAAGAAGACATCAAATTCAATGCCATTATAAACCTGTGAGAAATTGCTCTGAGATATGAATTTCATGAAGAATACAAACATAGGTAGGGTTAGCTGTGGCTACTACTGTTTGTAGCACATTGTTAAAACAAGAAAGAGATAACAGAAACAGCTTTCATCTTGCTGTTTGTCCATTTATAGTTGTGTGTTTGGAGACTTCTATATAACTGTATTAAACAACTATAAAAAACTTCTAGCAAAACTTGTCTATAGAATTTCTTGAAAAGCCACTGAACATTTCTTTGTGGGGGAATAGCAGAGGTTTCTAGTGGTAGCTTGCTAAATGGAGTCATGGAAAATGCAAATGAGACAAAGGACACTTCTCAGCAGCATATCTCATCGCTAGGAGCCACGTAGGGGGTTTATAGCTACTTGAACCTTGGTCCTTGGGTTTTCTCTGAATAACTATGGACACACAACTTTGAAAGAAAATAATTGTTAAAAAAATAAAATGGGGACAGTCTGCTGAGGTGCTTCAGCATGTAAAAGGTGATTCCTATGACAATGTTTTTACAATGTCCATGGATTGCTCATTTACAGACTAAGAGGAGCAAGGCAAACTGACTACATGAACATGACTTAGAGCATGAACATTGGGTATGAACAACATAGATGGCTATGCTGAGCCTCCCTCCCATTCCCAGAAGGATGCCTACCTGCAAGGTGTACCCGGGCTCACACTGGAAGGACAGTACGTCATTCACCATGTATCGGTCTCCTATCTTGATGCCGTTGCTCGGGAGAGTAGGTTCCTGGCACGCAGCCAGGCCCACCGCTAGAAGGACACAAAGACAGATGCTGGGAATCAGGGAATGTCAGAAACATGTTTTATTATCAGTAGCAGGAACTTTGTTTCCCATTGCTTCCTGTGGAAGTAAACAAAAGTTTTCATGCTTCCTCTTGCTGTTTGACCAAAAGGGTTTAAACAGCGTTAGATCAGAGTTGTAAGCTACTTCTTATGCAGTATCTCAATTCATTTGGGTCATGGAAGGGATTGAAATTTTTCTTAGAAAAAAATTGTCAGTTCCACATTTAGCATAAAGAACACAATTTTAATACTGATACAACCAAACAACTGTTTCCTGTTGCCTGAAAACCCTGGAATTGTGTTCTTTTATCTTTCTCATGCATTCTGAAAACTTTACAAGTCTGTCAATGTAGGAATTCCTTCTGAGAAAAAAATACACATGAGAACAAACTCATTCTTCTCTTCTATGTTCTCATACCCAGCAACAAGAATCTCATGGCTGGTCCAATCTTATATTAACAGGACCAATATTTATATAAAATGTTGTATCCTGGTCCTTTCCTTAGATTATAACACCCTACATTTAAGGAACTCACAAATTGCAATAGAAATTTATCCTATACTATTGAACTCCAAAGTACCAGAGTAATTAACTCGAAGTAGCCATATCATTCTATAGATAGAAAGTATATAAGAATTGCGTTTCATAGAATACAATGTCCTTTCTTTATTGACAAGATTTGAGTTTTATAAGATGGGTACATTCAGATGATAGATCATGTGGAACATAGACAAAGGTAACTGTGAATTTAATTAACATTCTATTTTTACACTCAAGATCTGGCTGAATATAAATGCTGGCTTTCCTTCTTCCAGTGTTCCAAGAAAGAGGAGAAGGCCTTCTCCAGGTGAGACTGGTAAGTCTTCATGTAATGTTGCTCTCACTCTGAAACTTGACATGAATATATCATGCCACAGATGAAGGCGGCTCGGATGGTGGGGCACCAGTAATTTCAGAGGCAGATAGTCTCTGTCTGGCAGAGTCATCCCACCACTGAGCATTCCTAGCAACTGATTGCCCTCCTGCAGAGCTACCCACACTGTGCCAGCTGTGCTGCATCATCCCTTCGGACTTTACACACACTAATACACAAGCGATAACAAAGCAAGGATGAACTTGAATGTCAGCAGCAGAGCAATAGTTGGCTGACTCTACCCGGGGCTCACTCACATGGACACTGGGTCTGGTCCCCTAGCTCTAGACATGGAGGTTTTAGAAAGTGCAGATGCTATCAAAGAAGATGTTGCATGTGCTTAGCATAACCACAGATAGATACTCTCTATGCTGATATTCAGGAGAGCCCTCAAGCTGATGACCACTCACACACCTAAGTCTCTGGCTGATCTAGCTGCACAGGTGGGTAATGCAGCTTCTACAAGATGCTAGAGAGTTTTCTCTAGCATCTCTCTGTGAATCAGGAGCTGCAAGCCATGCATCCTAGACCATCCAGAGACTCTTTCCCTTATCCTGAGAGAGGGACGGAGTTGAAGTGCCATTCCTTCCTAGTGGGATTGCTCATCTGAGTCCCTGCTGGAGAGTTTTGGCTGATACATGAATTTGTTGACATGCTTCACATCATGAAATACAGCTATTGCATATGACAGAGGTGGCTATAAGTTAGGTCGTAAATTTTTCCTAAGTTGACATAGATTTTTCCCTATATAGCTGTTTTTAAAGTATAAAACACAATTAGCATTAACCAGCAATATGTTGTATTTATTACACAGATTTTCAACCCATTTAAAGTTTTTCATAGACGATAAAACTACCAAACATACAAGGAGCCATCATACAAGAGCTCACAACTACATTTAGAACCCACACTCTAAAGATTAGCAAGATCATCTTGGGTGCATATAGCCTTATTTTTAAAATTTCACTCAAAAATACAATGAAGTATTATAGGAAAATATATAATCAAAGATTGGAATACCAGGAGGTATAATTTGTGATGATTTTGCACAGTATTGTTTTGTTATAATTTATGTTTTCAAAAGTCAAGGCCAAGAACAAAGTTTTCAATAACACAGAATACTCAAAATGAAATAGGAAAATTTACTGTGATTAAATTTGTAAAGATATGAGATTAAAATGATAAGGAGTAATATCAAACCTCAATAGCTGAATTACCTCCCTTTCTGCATGCTGTACAATGTTTTTCCTTTTAATATAATTCTATTATACATTGATTTATATGTAGTTATTGTATATTATTTGGCTTTCATTTTCCCCTTCCTTAAATTAAATACTGAAATATAATTCATCCTCTAAAAACGATAGCATTGATATCTATCACCACAGGAAATAGACTTTTATTTCTAATTAATATCAAAACACAAAAACATCATTATTTCAGGAAAGGCAAGTTATGGTGAGACTAAGATATTCCACAGGATCATGATGCTTGTAGAAAGAAGCACTGCCATGATTTCCCTACGCCTTAGCATCCCTGCATAGTTGTGTATATTAGAAACTAAGAATGCAAACCCTTAGTGTATGTAAGGATGGTTTTCAGTTCTTTAGTTTATCTGGTTATTTGTTTTAAAGATGTAACTAATAATCAAACTATGAAATAAAAGTGGTAGAACAAGCATCAGGCAAGGTAGATTTCAGCAATGAGTCTAAGCCAAACATGATCATATCAGTCTATATCAGGCTAGTAAGGATGCTCTTTACCTTGCACATTGAGATGGAAGAGTAATATTTGACTGGACTATATCTCAGGTTAAGCTTTCAGTGTCTACATCACAGGAGTGATTGAAAGCCATAGAGCTATCTAAGTTACTCACCTAGATATACTGATGTCTAAAAACTCTGTGCACACAGAAAGGAAAACCTACGGACTGGTTAAACTTGACATGATGTTAGAACAAGCCTGTAAGCCCAGCACTGAGGATGAGGAAGAGGCATTGAATGTTTGAGGCCACCAGGGTGTATAAGGTTACTTGGTCTCAAAAACAGATAATTCATTAAATGTTCATTATTTTTTAAATTGGATATTTTTAAACATAACAGATTGACAAAAAAAATTCCAATCAATGTTTTAGGGGCAGAAACATCTAGGAAGAAGAGACTAGAAAGTTATTTGGAAGATTTTTTGGCAGAACATTTATCCTTATCTAATGATGGCACACTTACAACTGAGATCATACATGACAGGAAACACCTGATGAGGTATTTTATTTAAAGGTGGTCCATGAGCAGCCAGTTTCCTTGATCTCCTTGGATATAAAGTGAGAATGGTTTTCAAAAATCTGAAGGGCATATGGCCATTTGTGTTGGAATAGCCAGCACATTATAATATTTCATAATTTATTATCTATGAATCTATTTTCTGTCCATTCTGATGTTAAGATGTGGACTTTTAAAATGCACTGATACATAAAGTTTCAATTTGATTTAGAATGTTGAAAGGAACTTTTTTTAATTCCCATGAATCTAGTCAGAAGAAGCAAAGACCATGAAACAAAGCTATTAAGAAGATAAGTGTTCTAATTTGACCAAAAAGTAGAGTTTAATGGCTTGACCTACTGCTGATCATAAAATGAATGCTGTGAGGCAGAGGAGAGCAGATAGCCCATCAGGCCTTCGAAGTACACTGTGGCTGTTCTTCACAACCCAGCAGAAAAACTCAGACTGTGTTCAGTTGAATCTCAGAAGTGAAAATTATGGACAGCACATGCCAGACACATGCTTTAAAATCAAACACATATCCATAGGATAACCAGGAGCTTTGCAGAACTTAGAAACTCAGATGATTTCAAAGGACTTCTCTCAACTGAGAATTGTTCTCATGGCCACTGGCATAGCTTGTAGTCTTTTACAATTCGTAAAGTAACATGAGCATGTTACTCTGACTGAAGAGCTCAAAACTACAATAAACCTAATAAGAAAAAAAATGAGGGAAGAAGGAAGTAGATCCAAGTGGAGAGATTCAAATTGGAATATTTGGCAGAGGGAAGACAGAGGACAATATTCTAGCTTTATCCTATTGTTATGATGAAATCCTCAGATCAAAAGCAACATAGGGGAGCAAGGAATCTATTTGGCTTACACTTCTGTGTTGCATTTTATCATTGAGGGAAATGAGAGCAGGAAGTAAAATAGGAAGTCAAACCAGAAACCATGGAGGAGTGCTGCTTACAGATTTGCATGTGCTTATGCTCAGCTAGCTTTCTTATCAGTGGTGGTGGTCCCATGACCACTTGCCCAGGGAATGGTTCTACCCACAGTGGGCTAGGCAATTCAACACCAATGAATACCCAAGATGATCCTCATGGACATATCCACAGGACAATTGGATCTAGGTAATTCTTCAACAATCTTTCTTCTCAGGTAAGTCTAGGCCAGTGGTTCTCAACATTCCTAATGGCAAAGCCCTTTAGTATAGTTCCTCTTGTTGTGGTGACCCTGACCATAAAAAGTTTTTTTGTTGTTATGTTATAACTGTAATTTTGCTACTGTTATGAATCATAATGTAAATATATGATGTGCACATGGCCTTAGGGGACACCTATGAAAAGGTTGTTCTACATAAAGTAAGTTGTGACCCACAAGTTGAAAATCACTGCTCTAGGCTATGTCAAATTGACATTTCAAGCTAATTAGGACATAAACACACTTACGCATGCACACACCAATTCAATACATGGGTAGGTCATCATTACACTATGTGGACAGAAAAGGCTATCTTTTAATTTTGAAAAGAAAAATAAAAGTTAACCAGGCTGTATCATAAACGCAAATGTTCCCTATTGACAGCGTTTCAAATAGAAACTTTGAGTTTCATGAGGTTTTAACCAGTGTGCGTTCAGTAAGACCCAAATTGTGAGCATTTAATTTTGATGTTTTCCCATGACTGGTGATATAGGGTAAGACAAAAAGCTTCTAGGTAAGCTGAAAAGCTTCTAGTTGCTACAGATCAGGAGGGTGGGCAGCTGGTACTAGGTTAGAGGTATCTCAGCCA